CGTTTTTAAAAGTTTTTCCCTGCTCTCCCCTTGAAAATCAATCCAAATTTTTTTTAAATCAAAACAAAAATTTCTTTTGTATTTTATGGTTTGCCTACACACTTTGACTTAGAATTGCATCCATTAGATAATTCGTTCTAATATCCAAATAGTACAATTTTGTTCATAAAAAAAAAACAAGCATACAAAAAACAAAAACAACGTGCTGCCAAAAAGGCTCCCCGCAACCGCGCAATCTTACAAAAAAAATCATATAAAATCAACCGCACCTAAAGCTCCGAATCTTTTGGGTGAAAACAGTAGGTTTAATTTTTGAAACGAAATTTGCCAATAATTTTTTTCGTGCGCCCCTCGTCTTAAACATAATTTAAATTTTTGCAAAATATTTGACATAGAATGGCATGCATTGGGTGATCCGTTATTTTATGCTAATTTAATCATTACATACTTATGTATGTACAATGTACATGCCAATTTATCGATGTGTGTGTGTCATTGCGTTTTTAAAAGTTTTTCCCTGCTCTCCCCTTGAAAATCAATCCAAATTTTTTTTAAATCAAAACAAAAATTTCTTTTGTATTTTATGGTTTGCCTACACACTTTGACTTAGAATTGCATCCATTAGATAATTCGTTCTAATATCCAAATAGTACAATTTTGTTCATAAAAAAAAAACAAGCATACAAAAAACAAAAACAACGTGCTGCCAAAAAGGCTCCCCGCAACCGCGCAATCTTACAAAAAAAATCATATAAAATCAACCGTGGGTCCAAAAAAAAAACAAAAATGCCTTACTGATTGTATGGCATAGCTCATCACTTTATCCGATCGCATAATCGGTGCGGAAAAATTAATTAATTGCCCCAACCGGAAGTCGGTCTTACAAACGTAAGAAATTAAAAACAAGAAAGCAAAAGACACAAAGTCAATCAGATTACTACAACCGGAGATAAAGATTTTTAATGAAAGGGTACTTTTTCAAAATTAAAAATAAATCAAAAAGGTGTTCGGTTTGTAAAAGAATCGCCCATATACCAAATTACCATACCAGCGGAAGAATTTTGTTTCGATCTGTCACTTTTGGGCTTCAGACATTAATCACTTTTAAAATTGCAAAAAAAAATTCATAATTAAAAAATTAATTCGTCTTTTTCAAGTTTAAAATATTTTTTATCGCTATTAGCAAAAAAAGAGCCAAATTCAATAAAAATGGACCAAAGAGCCAACGATCTTTTGAGCCAAATCTGGCAACTGTGATTGAGACGTTACTATTAATTTTCCAAATGAATAAAACAACAAAATACATGAAAATTTCGTAAATAGGTTTTCTACTATTTTAATTGTTAAATACTATTCAATGACAAAATACATGAAAAATTCAGAAAATAGTTTTTCACTATTTTTCTGTGTTGATTTTACATACCCTGCAGGAAACGGAATCAGTTTTGGACCAGTAAAATACTAGTTGGCTCAGGAAAGTTAACTAGTTCAAGTTATGTCCATTTCCTTGTAGCGAAGTGGTCCATTTTTCATTGTCGTCGGAAACAACTAGTCCATTTGCTACTAGTTCTGCACTAGTGACTGTTAACCAATTTACAGTTACAGCTGTTAAACTACACTCAAAAAAACATTTTCCCGAAAAAACTAAAAATTAATCTCTAAACCATCAAGTGATTGAATTGCACTAGTACTTGACGATGCCTAACTTGACGCTCTCCTAATTTAGTATCCAATCAATAGGCGCGGTCCTTAGAGAATTTCTGATAATTATTAATTATTATTATTATAATTATTATGTAATCAAATACAGTAAATGATAATTAAATGGAATTAAAACAAACTAACTTATTTTGAAGCAAGTCGCCCTTTCTAGGACTAGAACCCGGGACCTTTGGATTTGTAGACACACTAACTGATTGAGACATACACGCATCACATTTTCCCTAACAAGGTTTATGAATTTTAGTGTGACATAATTCAAAAACAGTGATTTTTCACATATATATTGCCTCGGACAGATTAAACAAAGTTTAAAATAAAACTAAAGCATCACCTAGCAAACGAAAAACAAAAAAAAATGTGCAGAGACTGGGGATTGAACCGAGGACCTCGAGTGTTTGATTTGTTTAGTGTTAAATTTCCCAGGACATTTACACTCTAGGCTTTATTTTTGGATCATACGTATTTCATTTGCAACTAGTTAAATTCCAGTTGCCTTTTAACTAGACCCTAACATGTATTTGTTCTACCAGTTAAATATTTTTAAGGTTTTTTTGTCAGAAAGGTACTAGTCCGAGACAAGTTTCTTTTTACTAGTTTTGTATTAATCATTTTTTCGACTAGCACAAATTTTCTAGATCCTGTGTAGTCCAAATGCATTCAGACAAATTCCGGTTGCTTTATATTAGTTGTATAACTAGTTGTTTTTTCGCATTTTTCCTGCAGGGTAGTTTTTTTTTTGTGTGTTCTGACGTATACGAAATAATTTTGATTTCGTACATCACTGTTTTGTTTATACTTAACAGAGAATATATCATTAACTATTTCCCCTAATGCTGGTTGTTTATGGCTGTGTCGCAATTAATTTATTTCTCCCTTAAAAAAATACTAAAATTATTCCGAGTATGCGGCTCGAAAGATAAGAAGTGTTACTTTTAAAAAACTTTAGCATCAAAACAAACCATGAATCCGTTTGCCTGTGATACCTCCGGAAAGTTGGCAAATTTCAGCATTTATCGAACTTTGAGGTCCTTGTGCTAAGAATCCTTGCGTTGGGGAAGTTTTTGGAAAACGCAGTTTAACTCTGGAATTCGTAACGAATTCAAAACAATAGCATCAATCGAGGTAAATTTAAAAAGCATTAGTTTTGTAACACAGTGTTGTTTTTGATTTTTTTCGGGTACCCCGACTATGAGATACTCGTTGAGAGGGAGACGGATATATAAAACTTTGATCGGGCATAACTTATTAGGCATGTAAATATGTATGCATGTACGCGGCTCACCCGATCTGAAACCCGATTTTCAAACCTTTCATAGCCTGCTCCTCTCGCTCTCTCGACCGACGCGTCGCGATGTTTCTCTCTTCTTCTAAAATTGTCATGATCTGCCCTGCTTACATTCGGTCTCCCTTCGCTCAAAGGCCTGTATGTAAATGTGAATGTATGTATGTGTCTCCCGGATCTCTCTCTCTCTCTCTGAAATTCGATTTTCAACCCTTTTATCCTCGTGTTCTACCTGTCTTGCACCTCTCTTTGTCTTTTGACCAACGTGATTGTATTTTGGCTATTATTAACATTACATTATTTCAAAAAATGTTGTTTATCTTAAAACAAATATTCGATATCCCAATAATTTTATTTTTTCTAGATGAGGGAAGGCGAAAAAATCGTTTTTGATGACTGCAACTACATACTGAGTTTTGAGATCACCTTATGTCATATGAAGTTCAACAGACCTTGGGTTATACAATATTAAATTATGTGAATTAAATACACCACCAATAATAACTCATTTTTAGGGTTAGAGTGTCTGCCCACAATCTGGGTCGCGAGTTCAAGTCACGTTTTTCCAGAAGGTGATTTTTATACCATTGCAAAGGGTATTATAATCTCAGTCAGATGCTTGCAACGCAGGGAAGTAGACGTTTCCAACCACATAAAGTATATATATTTTTGATCAGCATCAATAGCCGAGTCCATCTAGCCATGTCCGTCTCTCCGTCGGTCCGTCTGTCCGTTTCTATGCGCACTAGTTCCTCAATTTTTAAGCTTTCGCGATAAAACTTTCCCAAAAGTCTTCTTTCTATTGCAGGTAGTACATCCGTCCGTCTGTCCGTCTGTCCGTCTGTCCGTCTGTCCGTCTGTCCGTCCGTCCGTCTGTCCGTCTGTCCGTCCGTCTGTCCGTCTGTCTGTTTCTACGCAAACTAGTCTCTCAGTTTTTGAGCTATCGGGACAAAAATTTCGCAAAAGTCTTCTTTCTATTGCAGGTAGTATATATGTCGGAGCCGACCGGATCGGACAACTATATCTTATAGCTCCTATAGGAACAATAGGAAAAAAAAACTTTAAAAAATTCTAGCTTCGGTGTTTTTTGAAATATTACCTTCTACTTTTGGGGATGTTATTTTTTAAATATTTCTGAATTTCGAATTAATTATTTAAAAAATCGGACTACTATATCATATAGCTGCCATAGGAACGATCGGAAAATTAATGGAAAAGTAATAGGAAATAAATTCTAGCTTCTTTGGTTTTTATTGTATTATCTTCTACTCTAGGATATGACTCTTTTTAAATATTTCCGAATTTCAATTTTAATTTGATCAAAATCGGACGACTATATCATATAGCTGCCATAGGAACGATCGGAAAATTAATGAGAAATATTAGAAAATTGAACATTTTTGCGATTTGTTAATGAATAGGAATGATCTGCAAGGGTATATAAGCTTCGGCTGGCCGAAGCTAGCTTCCTTTCTTGTTGACATTGTAAAAACAACATTTTAAGTAGGCATACCTGCAAGTATATAAACTTCGGCAGGCCGAAGTTAACTTCCCTTCTTGTTGTTCTTAATGTCGATTTTAGGTTTAATGATTTTCTTTTCTTCTGTAGCCTACTCGTTAGACAGATCCACTCCGATTATTGGGGCCCCAGTTCGATCCCAAGCGCAGGCAGAAAAGCAATCAAAATAAAACAAGTTCAAAAAATGAATTAAAAAAGACCAATTTATGTTGGTTATGTCAAATTTTTACTAATATTTTGTAGGTAACTTAATATTGTTTTAACATTATCTATTTTGTGTATTTTGTATTCAATAATAAAAAGATGTTTTTACATATTTTTTTTGTGCGTGGGGTCGGAAACGCTTTCTTTTTCCTGTTACGAATTTTTACCCGAGCCCAATCCAACCTTTTTATCCCAATAAAGCATTTAAACAGCTACATAATACATTTGTTTCAGAGGAGTATTAGATTAATTGGAAAAAAATAAGTAACTTACTTGCAAATCTTGGATCGTTTGCTGTTGATCCGTACCATGATGCTGAACTTCTCATGTCAGTATAGTGACCAGCAAGAGATAAATTGTCGGTAGGTCCGCAGTAGCTTTGAACTCCTGGGCTATGATATAACGATCCCATAGCGTACGGATTGGCCATAGTTGAAGTAGTTAATGTTCCAGGGGAGTTAATGCTACTACCACTTGAGTTGGACCTAAAAGTAAATGTTTATTTATAATTTCTGAAAAATTATAAGTCACAACAAGGGAGAGCGCTATAGTCGAGTGGGCGTGGCAATCTTTATTTTAAGCAGAGCCTGCAAGTATCGGTCAATTTTACCAAAGTGTTCGAGAAAAACCTGTCATTTACACTTCGAGAACTGGGAGTGAGCTAACACATTCAAAGGGTTTTTGATTAACAGCTGTTACGCTCAGAGCAAAGCCCCTTTTTTAGGGTTCCTTCGGTTTCGATTTCTCCTCACGTTGCTTTTTATACCCGTTACTCGTAGAGTAAGAGGGTATATTGTTGCACGCTGTTCGTGCAAAAGTATGTAACAGGGAGAAGGAAGCGTTTGCGACCCTATAAAGTATATATATTCTTGATCAGGGTTACTAGCCGCGTCAATATAGCCATGACTGTCTGTCCGTCTGTCTACGTAACTCATAACTATTGTTAAGCACAAGTGACCCTTGCTTTAAAAATTACTCTTCAGGCATTTCAGCCCACAAAGATTAGTAGGCTACGCTCATGTGCTTACTCAAAGCAAAACAACTTATATCGTTTAGAATTATGATATTTAAATTTGTGACAGGCTTGGGCACTGTTTGTGAATCGTCACTGTGAAGGAAGTAAGAAAAACAATTTTAAAAATTCCAAAACAATTCACAAAAACCTGATGAGTGTCCTAAAAATTAGGGACATAAGGTGTCTTTGGATCAAAAATGCATTGTAGAAGAAAATATTTTTATGTCATTTTTAAACGCTGTTCACATATGAAGATTTTTAAACTTTGCTGTGACTTTAAATTTGGTTGTGTGGTTGGGTTAGATTAAATTTTCCAAAACGACCGTATAAAAGAGGCATGTAACTATTTAATTCCGAAAAGATTATCCCAAAAGAAAATGAAAATTTGTGATTTTCTTAAATTAAGGATACCGCAAATACCAGAGCTGATGGACTATAGGCGTTGTGGCAACTTATGCCTATAAAAGCCTCATTTAACCAAATAAAATGGTGGCAGGCATGGACACCGACCCATGTCACATTTTGTCGTCCTCTGTTATTTGTATTGTTCGAATTTATTTATAGAACCTAGAGGCTTAAAATAAAAAAAAAACGATCAGAAAATTTTTAAACTCTATTTACGCAGTTTTTCTCTAAAATGTCCAAACTTTCAATTTGCAAACCGGATTTCGCTGGAAACCTAACGATACTTTCTTAAAATAGAATCAAAAGCATGAACTCAATACATATTTCAAAGCAAAAGCGCACTTGAAATCGGGCTGGTAACTGTTCAAGTTAATATGTTTATATAATTTAAAACGGTGTTTATTTTACTCTTTGAAATTAATTTATTCTAACTTGAAAAAAATGAATAAAAACTAACTTGATACTTGAAACCCATTTAAATGTTCATTTTTTGTGTGTCTTAAATTTGTTTACCTAAAGTTTTAGTTGCGTTCTCTCACGATTACCCATTAGGAATTATTTTTTTAATCTTTACAATTTTAAAATCGATAAGGTTAGGTGCCGAAAGTTTTTAATGTATTTGTAAAAAATATGAATACGACTACAATTTAATATGGTAACACGACTTCATATTTTTCAAGGTCACATTTTGTGTGTCTCTGACTTGTGATCTTTTGTGATTGTCAACATTATTTTCTACAGCTTTTATTTGTCAGTTAATTACTTTTACTTAAAATTATTCAAATTATTTTTTCGTTTTTTTCTATAGCTTTTGTTTGCATTTCCAAAGGAGGTTTGAATCATTGTCTATTTTCAGGACCATATATAATATTTTGAATTTATAGTGCACCAAAGATGGTAGCAACGTTTCGAAATGTATTGAAGATGTTCAGTATTATATTGAGAATAACAATATTATTGAGTCAACATCCGTCAATGCAACTAGATCCCACTGAAGTAATGTCCCAATAAGGAGACAGCCATGTTCAAAAGTCAATATTTGCTTATAATGAATTTCGGTAATAGCAAAAAAAGAGATAGGTGAGAAGGGGGTACTAATAGGAGGAAAAGTTTGGTTAGACTTAGCAGCTCCAAATAAAGAGCCATTGGAACGAGACTGGTATCATCGGTAAGGCTGTTCTTTTGGCTATAACTTTTTTCTACATCATTTTGAAGTCAATTGCAAATTATCGAGAAACGTTGCAAAATGTCAACATACTTTTTAAGCCAGTCTAGCCCCAGTACGAAACTTACTTTTGCTGTTAACGGTATAGGGTAAAAGAGATAATTTTCATAAAATTTTATTGAACTCTTTGGACACTAATCCTTTGATCTAAAATGGTGTACATTATTTGTGGTTTTTTTCTATCCTTTCTTTGCTATTAAAAATGCGGTTATAGCTGTTTGACGCGGAGGCGATTTTGCTTATCTTGACTGCAATCTGCAAACTCTCGCTTACAAATTCGACCATGAGCGCAACCAATACTGCGACTATGACCAATAGTTCAACCTGCAGAAGTCATAAGAAATAAATTAAAACCCATGTGTTATCATATAGTCACCTCAACCATTTTCACCCCAAAAGGATTTTTTGAAGTTTGGCTAAATACCACAAAGATTGAAGACCAACAAAATATTTAACAAAATAAATTATTTTTCAAAAAATCTCGCGAGCGACCAATCTCCAATAAAGTGTCCCGAACAGAATGAGACGATTAACAGAAATTTGACATTGACTGAAGGAACCTTCAGCAAACACGGCGTGCAATTTAAGCAAGACGTTTGTTTGCTAGGGCCACACACTATTGTGCCCCTCGTACTATTGGAGCGCCCCTTCTCCCCTACCCTAAAAATATATCAGTAAATGAATCTCATGCTAAAATTGAGTTGCAAAGTTTACTGGATAATGCAGCATTGGAGCTTCAAGAAGATGTGGTTAAATCTATTACGGAAGAATCTTTTGAAAAAAGTGGGACCTTAATGGAAGTACATTTCGATAGGTATAATTAAACGCAGAAAATTGCATTTATACTTCTCTTTAAAAATGTGGGCGCTAGACACATTTTAAAATCGTTTGTGAGCGTTAGAGGGGGAGTGGCACTCGGCTGAAATAGAGGAAGCCCAATAGGTAATCCGAAATTTCTAGCTTTTGTAGTTTCCGAGATCTCAGCGTTCATAGGGACGGACACACAGACGACAGGCGGACAGATAGACATGGCTAGTGACCCTGATCAAGAATATATATGTATACTTTATGTGGTCGGAAACGCTTTCTTCTTTCTGTTACATACTTTTCCACGAATACAATACAGCCTTTTACTCTACACATTAATTATATATGAAATATAGGAAATTTAACATTTTTGCGAATGTAAATTAATAGAATGATCTGCATGGGTATATAAGCTTCGGCTTGCCGAATCTAGTTTCCTTTCTTGTTCGCTATTTGCTAAAGGTAAATTTTTTCAGAATTTTTCACTTTTGGATATATTTTTTATACTTTCCTAAAAAGTTTTTTTATCATTCTTCTTATTTTTAGAAAGTTCCATCTGCGTCTATTTGCGATTTGCAGCTGTTTGAGGCGAAAGTTAAAAAGCGTTTTCCAAAAAGTTCCCCGACGCAAGGATTCTAAGCAGAGATTCTAAGAGCCTCAAAGTTCGAAAAATACTGAAATTGGCCAACTATCCGGAGATCTCAGAAGCAAACGGATTTATGGTTTGTTTTGATGTTACAGTTTTTTAAAAGATACACTCTTTATCTTTCAAACCCCATACTTATAATAGTTTTACGATTTTTTTAAAGGGAGAAACAAATAATAGAAAACAGAGTCAAAAAACATAAAAGTATACAGCTGCGGTCCAAATAGTAGTAGTGTAGTAGTGTTTAAAGCAAGGGTCACTTGTACTCAACAATAGTTATGAGTTGCGTAGACAGGCGGACAGACAGTCATGGCTATATTGACGCGGCTAGTAACCCTGATCAAGAATATATATACGTTATAGGGTCGGAAACGCTCCCTTTTCCCTGTTACATACTTTTGCTCTACGAGTACAAAGAGTATAACAAAAATGGGTCGTTATGTTTCAATCCTCTATTGAAAAAAAAAGTTTGGATGTTTTTCGAGATTTGACCCCAATTTTCCTGTTGTTTTGACATTAATTTTTCTATTCTTCCCTATGGCAGCTATATAATATAGTCATCCGATTTTTGTTAAATTCCGAAATATTAAAAAAAATCATATCCTAGAGTTGAAGAGAATACAATAAAAATCAACGGAGCTATAATTTGTTTCAAATTAATTTCCCATTAATTTTTAGATTGTTCCTATGGCAGCTATATGATATAGTTGTCCGATTTTGGTCAAATTAAAATTGAAATTCGGAAATATTTAAAAAGAGTCATATCCTAGAGTAGAAGAGAATACAATAAAAACCAAGGAAGCTAGAAATTATTTCCTTTTACTTTTCCATTAATTTTCCGATCGTTCCTATGGCAGCTATATGATTTAGTTGTCCGATTTTTTAAATATTTAATTCGAAATTCAGAAATATTTAAAAAATAACATCCCCAAGTGAAGAAGGTAGTATTTCAAAAAAACACCGAAGCTAGCTACGCAAACTAGTCTCTCAGTTTTAAAGCTATCGGACTACAACTTTCCCAAAAGTCTTCTTTCTTTGCAGGTAGTATATAAATCGAAACGAGCCTGATCGGACAACTATATTATAAAGCTCCCATAGGAATAATCGGGGAAAAAATGTAAAAAAATATCTATCTTGGGTGTTTTTGAACATATAACCTCCTAGTTTTGGAATTACCATTTTTTATCTAATTCTGAATTTGGAATAAAATTGTTTCGAAATCGGACGACTACATCATATAGCTGCCATAGGAACGATCGGAAAATTAATGGAAATATAATTAATTATTGTATTCTCTTCTACTCTTTTTAAATATTTTCGAGTTTCGGTTTTAATTTTAACAAAATCGAACTACTATCACTATGGACGGCAGTCCATGTAGTGACGA